AATTATTTTATTATTTTTATGTAGGTTAAAAATGTGGGAAATGCTCCCATTACAAGGGAAGTTCTGCCGAAATTTCGGTAGAAATTAGAAATTTTAATTGATTTTTTTTTTTTTGTTTTGTTGGACAGGCACACGGTTAGTCACGGGTTCCAAGAGAGAATCCAGGACGAGTCCTGCCAAGGAGTGGGCTAAATCTAAAATTTGATTTCTTCAGTGTTTTTATAATCATTGTCCTTTAACTCTTCATCCTTCTCTTTTTCTTCATTTTCAGATTCACTACCACCTTATTCAACTTCCTTATTTTCCTCTTCATTGTTTGTTTCATTACCATCAAATTCAACTTGCACATGTTCCTTTTCAGCTACATTTGCATACTCCTCATAGTCCAACAATGGCCATACCTCTTCTTTTTTACTGCCAAGTGTGTTCTGGTAAGTTGGATCATAAAAATACAGTACAACAACTCCATTTGATGGAATAGTACCAACTAAGTTTGCAATGCACCTATCATCTAAGATCTCCTTAACAACATCTTCTGCATGCACCTTATAGAACACTTTTAGGCTAGTCATCTTCTGGGTTATATCCACTTTATACCCAAGCTCTGCCCCAATTTTCTTTAAATCCAATAGTGACAAATAGTCATCCACACAATTGTCTGCAAACCACACCTTCCCACCCTTATATACACAATTTTCCAACAAACCGAAATGGTGAAGTTCTAAAGTGCATAGCTCGGGTTTATCTAATAGAAAAAACAATATTACTTAGATTACAACATCTGACAGAAAAACAATATTTTGAAAGCTTTGAAACCACATTTTCTTGTTTCAAAGCAAGGACAACAACACAGGACCACACATATAGCCAAAACAAGGACAACAACATAGGACCACACATATGCAGACAAAGCTTAAACCTATAAAATATTCAACGCACTAAGTTAAAGTTGTAGTAACTTACCATAGTTTGGATGCTCTCCAAACCACCTAAACACTGTCCCCATGTGAAGTCTCTCTGTAAACACCGAAACATTGTCACTTTCAACTGTCCCAAAACTGAACCCTCGAATCTTCAATAATGCACTAATACTTCAATCAACACTGTCTCCCTTTCAAATAGAGCACTTTCGACCACAAATCGCACTTTGATGACCTTCGATACCTTTTAGTTTCAAAATCGCGAAACACTTTTCATCGGTGAAAATAGATTTGTGCCCATGCCACGGTGTAAGCTTTCTAATTCGGTTGAATCTTTTTAATGTGGAAAATACATTTTTGCCCATGCCAAGTAGGACTCGTCCATGCCATGCCATCAAATTAAACGGAAAATTTGATAAAGATGATGGAAAGGACTGTTTCTGATGAGGCATAATTAAAGTACCACGGTAATAATTTAGCAATGTGAGAGATGAAAAGTAAAGTTGGTGATTAGACCAGGGACCATTGCTACAATTTTGTCTTCAATATAATTGGTCCATTTCTATTAAAAAAAACAATAAAAAAAATAGATAGCATTCATTAAAACTTTAAAATATGCATAAAACAACGCAACATTAAATTATAGGGAGCTATTAGGAGTTATTTCTCTCTCCTCATATTTAGGAGCTCCTAGAGGTCTTCCTATTTTAGGAGGTGAATAGGGAGTATGGTTGGAGTTGTATTTTTTCAATTTCTCTCTAAAATTTGTCTAAGAAAGTGATTTAGGGAAACCCATAAGGTGCTCCCTAGTATGTGAACATGACAAGAATAATGGATGATATAGAACTCCACCTTGATGTTTCTTTATCGTGGATGATATATATTAAAACGTGAATCCATAAGGTGCACGTTACGCAACATATTCTCCATGGAGCATTACCAACTATTTGCTTTTCTATATTTTCAAATTCAGTGAGTTAATGTAAGATTGTGTACGATCTTAGGGATTCGTTGTGATTCTTTTTGTGTATGTTTCTTTTGTTTTTTGTTTTTAATTAAAAATTCTGATTTAGGTATATTTAAATTGTCAAAATTTAGACAATAGCTAGTGCTTACAAATTAAAGAATCGCATCTAAGCTTTTTATTATATAATATTGTTATATCAAATGCATTTAAGAATTAATTTCGAAGCAAATGGGGATTCTCATTCTTCAGGATCACTTAGCATAAATGGCAATTGACATTTTGAACCAAATGAATTCGCTTACATGATGCTGCCGATGATCCCCATACTTTTTTTCTTGAGCAGCCTTGACATGCATTAGAATTTAGAATTTAGATCGATAAATGTCCAAAAGTATATGCAATAATTAATTAACAGCATCTACAATGGTTAGGATCAATGCAATTTTATTGCATAAAATTGAAGTAGAACAGTAAAATTTCACTTGTAATAGTGTGATGAACCCTTTATTGCAATTGCAATAGGCTAACTATGGGACCCACATGCCAATAAAAAATACAGTAATTAATGTATTATGTTGTTAAGAGCATCCGCAATGGTTGTTCAACAGTTCAATGCAATAGAAAAAATACAACAATTAATTTTTTTTTTCAAATATATTCAAAATTGATCTCTTTTTAAAGATCTCTTTAAGAATATTTCAATGGTACAATTTATTATTATTATTAAATGTATCCCTTTCATTTTATTTGAGTATGTAAAAAAACATCCAAGTAAATATAACTGGAGAGATTCACTATTATACCCAATATAGGAGCACAAATTATTAAAAAAAATCATATATGAAATGGACTTTAGAAACACACCCAAAGCCCATTTACAATATAACAAAAAGGCTTAACTTATTTTAAATTACAAAATTGCAATTGATTTCTTAAAACAAACCCAATCCCAAAACCTCATAAAAAACTTAAAACACTCAATATGGCATCAAAGTAATTTAATAATCAAAATTAAATTCAATAGGGCGTCATATTTTGGGTTTTTTTTTTTGGTTTGTTTATAGAAATAAAATGGTATAGGATTTATCTATATTATTAGTGTTAAGAATGTGTATATGACTAAATATCTCATATAATTATTGATCTGAAGCTATTGAACTATACCATTGCAAGTAAAACTGCAATTCAATTTAATAGATGCCAAAATACTTCAATAAATTGAACTATTGAACAACTATTGTGGATGCTCTAAATATCATATATATACAGTGCATAAAAGGCACAAGGAATATTAACGGGGTCTAGCCCAATAAAAAAAGCCTTTACTTGCATGCAGACTAGTGATCTCATGTTCAAATCCTCATGACACTTTGGTTCGTAGTGCGCAAGTGGGAAACTCTCCTCCCCTTGTAGTTTAGACTATTACTTGTATTTAAAAAAAATCAAACAAAGAAATGACATCACCCATTTGTCCCCCCATATCCAAAAAAGTAGATATTATAGAATCCATGTCTACGCATTTTAGGTTATATAAATGGTATCATTTTTTTTTTCTGTTTTGTTTTTGCTTTCCAAGCAGCAAGGGGAATGATGGTTTTTGCGCAGTTGCACCGGGTTCTTTTGGCATAAATTTTTGTCCTACATGTGCCAATTAGGTCATGTCACATTTTCAACTGCCGTTCATTGGTTTGGTATCATTTTCCTACCAACACTAGTTAGGGAATTCCATGTCTTAAAGATACCAAAAGAATATAACACATTGTGAGAATAAAAGGGTACAAGAAAATTCGTGTAGGATTCCTTTCCCATTTTTGTAGCAGCCATGCAATGCATTTCTATTACGAAATTAACCACATCTTCTTTCTCATATGCTTGTCGTTGGTGGCAGATGTCTTTCCGCGTTTCAAGTCATATTTAGAACATTTTTAATTGTAGCAGTTAAGTTGTTGATATTGTCTTCAGTTTAAACACCACAAGTTTTATGTTGATATTTACTTTTAAAAAATCCCGATGCAAAAATATATATATATTCCACTTGATAAGCAGAATATTAGAGAAAAAATTGTATTCGATCTACAAAATTCCTAGCTTCTCAAAATTGATATATGACAGAAATACCAAGAGCATATGCATTGAGTAAGTGTTGGGGGTGTATGGCTTGGTAGAAGTCATAGATGGGGATAAGTATATAATCTCACATCAGCGATGTATTACAATAATATACAACTTAAAAGTAGGTGGTTTGCTATGGCACCGAGGCTTATTTAGGTGATTAAGTTTAAGATTATATCAGTGCAATCTTAGACTTAATAGTGAATCCCAGCGTGTCCATTACACAACAAAAAGAATTGGGAATATTCATGACGTCAGGTTGGTTATTTGTCACTGGGCTCATGATGCCCAACACTTGTGTCCACACCAATATTGGCCTGTCTGCGTTAGCTAGAATGAAAACAACTTGTTCCATTTGCCAACTTTCCCAAGCAAATTTCCCAGAAGTATCAACCAGGTGGACGCCAAAACTCCCACTGAGTATCCACCAGATGATTAGCTATTATATTCAATATAGGAGCCTAAATTATAAAAAACCTTATATGAAATGGACTTTAGAAACACACCCCAAGTCCATTTACAATATAACAAAGAGACTTCTAACTTTTTTTAAATTACAAAACTGCCATCGATATATTAAAACAAGCCCAACCCCGAAACCTCATAAAAAACCCAAAACACTCAATAGGGCATCAAAGTAATTTAATTCAAAATTAAATTCAATGGGGACAACTGTCATTTTTTGAGTTTTTTTTTGGTTTGTTTATATAAATTGAATGGTGTAGGATTTATCTATATCATTAGTGCTAAGAATGGATATATGACTAATTATCTCTTAAGTATATGCGTACAAATTTCATTTTGTCATAAATATACCCACTCGTTTTCTTCTAGATTTGCAAGACTGCAAAAGTATCAATTTATCTAACACAAAATTCTTTCAAATAGTAGTGAGTAGACTATACGAATATTGGCTTTGTTTAGGTATAAATATATTGTTGAAGCAAGGTTCACCAAGTATCTCTTAGGAAGCTTTTATTTGGCTTCTAGAGTATCCTCATTTTCCATATTAAGCTATCTTGTACCAGAACATGTGGAACACCATTGGAAAATCGTTATGGCTTAAATCAAACTGCCTCTTCCACCAAAATCAAGTTGCTAGTGACTCGGTGCATCGTGGGAACTTGGCTTTGCAGCAGCTGAGCTGCAATGCTTGTCTGGAGGAAAACAAAGCGTGTAAGTGTGATCAAAGTTTTGAGAGCTGCAAGAGAGTCTCGGGTGTTGATGAGCACCATGCAGAGGCCAACAATTCTTTTACTCATTCAGTGATCAACATGACTGGGATGCTCATTGGTAATTTTTTTCAAACACTTGAGTACTAGTTTGTTTGATTCAAAAAAATATTTAGTGTTTTTATCATTTGTATGTTTACACGTGCATTTGTATATGTATGTGTGTGTATGTGTGCGCGCATGCGTTGCCAGATTGTGAATCTGAGAACCACGTTTAAAGCAGTATAGATTCACAGTCCAGCTATATATAGATGTACACAGAAAAACATCGATCTCTATTTACAGTTTACATGACTAAGAAAATATTGTAAGTAATTGATTTTTGCATATGTATGATGCTGCAGGTTTGGGGCAGTTATCAACTCCATATGCCTTAGAAACTGGGGGGTGGTCTTCTGCATTCTTAATGATAGGACTTGGGGTAATATGTGCATATTGTTCTCATATACTTGGAAAATGCCTTGACAAAAATCCCAAGTCAAGAAGCTACACAGATATTGGACAGCAGGCATTTGGAACCAAAGGAAAACTTATAGCAGCAACCTTGATTTACATGGAGATCTTCATGGCCCTTGTATCCTACACCATCTCATTGCATGACAACCTAAACACAGTGTTCTCGGGGACGCAATTTAAGGTGTCATGGGCCAAGTTATCAAAATCTCAGCTCTTAACCTTGATGGCGGTCTTGGTAGCGCTGCCTAGTCTGTGGTTGAGAGATCTCTCTTCTATATCTTTCCTTTCATTCGGAGGTCTTCTCATGTCGCTTGTCATTTTCACGTCAGTGGCATGCACCGGCATTTTCGGAGGGGTGAAAGCTAACCACACCATACCAGCCCTCCGGCTTCATAATATTCCAGCAATATCTGGCCTTTATATCTTCAGCTATGCAGGACATATTGTTTTCCCCAATTTATACAAGGCCATGAAAGATCCATCCAAGTTCACCAGGGTACTTTTCATCTCTCAAATTATAATAACTAATGAAACATGTGAGTGCTGATCACTGGATTTTTTTCTTCAATTGGTGACCATGGAATTTTATGAACATGTGCTCCAAACAAAACCAATTTGTTTTCTGTGTTACTAACTTTGTTTTTCTGGTTTAAAAATTTCTGCAGGTATCTATAGTGAGCTTCACTTTAGCGACGATACTTTATGCGACCCTAGCCTTCATGGGAGCCAAGCTGTTTGGTCCCCACGTGAATCCTCAAGTCACTCTAAGCATGCCTCCACATCTTATAGTGACAAAAATTGCATTGTGGGCAACTGTGGTGACACCAATGACCAAATATGCTCTGGAATTTGCACCAATGGCCATCCAGCTTGAGCACAACCTTCCTCATTCTATGAGCTCCAGAACAAAGCTGATCATCAGGGGTACTGTGGGTTCAGTGCTACTTCTGGTGATTCTAGCATTGGCTCTCTCTGTCCCATATTTTGAGTATGTTCTCAGCCTCACAGGATCCCTTGTAAGTATTGGCATTTGTGTCATTTTCCCTTGTGCCTTCTACCTCAAGATCTGTTGGGGTCAGATTTCAAGGCCTCTCCTGCTCCTTAACTTCACTCTCATTGCATTTGGCTTACTTCTGGGAGTAGTTGGAACCATTTCCTCATCAAAGTTGCTCATAAAAAACCTCAAAAGAGCTCACTCAGGCTGAAAAGATGAACCATGATATGCAAATAGACTTGCATTTTTCATTCTGGGATGTGTTGCTTCTCCTTCTCCTTTGATTTTGTTTTTATTTTTTCACCTTTTTTATTTTTAGTGTAGTATTTTTGAAGATTACACTCTACAGTGATGTATGTATCTGCGGTTGTCATCATATGAATAATATTTTCAGAAACAGTATTTTTTTTTTTCTTTTTTCAATATAATTTTTGTTTTCTGGTGGACTTTTTATAACAAAATAATAAATATATATGAAGCCAGTGGCCTTGCGCAGAATATCACACAAATTTTGCTCGCCAACGCACCACACAACATGCAAAATCTGTTGACAACAGAAAAAAGCAGCCCGATTGAATGAATGAGAGATGGTAATTGGTTATATATTCATATGGTTGATGGTTGCTCAACACCTCTCCACTCAAAAGAAGAAGTTTCCTATAAGTACTCCTGAAAATGGGAAAAGAAAAAGTTGTTCTCCCAATTGGGGAAGCAATTGTATGAAAACAAATGCATGAACCTGAACAAACTGAAAAAAAAAAAAACACAAGTGTAGGAATTAAATTTCTCACCAAGAAATATATACCAACATTTTTTGGTTTATTTTGATAAGCCAAAAAAACTTACTAATTCTGAAATACTTGTTTAATCTTGATAAGCCAAAAAAGTTTGGAAATATCCTTGAATCGTAGCATTGAATCATAATTCCATCAGCAGATCGATAACAGTAAGTCCTAGTTACCAAGATAACATCCTATTTTTGATACACTCTATGTGTTTTTCTGGTCAAATGATGCTTTCATTGAAAGCCAGACAAGAGCAAAACAAGGAACAATACAAGGATCACCTTAGTAAAAGAAAAGCAGCAGAAAACTACTTGTACAAATACGCAACCGCATCAAACATTGACCAGGTAGGAGGGGGCTGACTTGCCCATCAAACATTGCTCAGCCTCTCATTCGCAAGAGCTGTGCGATTCCCAATTCCAGTTTACTCATGCAAAGCTCTTGTTACAAGGACCATATTATTACTTCCATTCCTTTCCATAGCTTTACTGTGAACTTCTACCACCAATTGGAGTTCTCTTCATATGACCACCAATTTTTTGACATTCATCATTATTAATTCGTCCTCTTCTGCACCAAACTTAGATGAATGCTTGTTGCTCTTCAATAATGAGTTTTGACTTTTCAAAATTCCGTTTGTTTAGTTGGATGCCTTTATTTTAGAAAGACTTATTTACTGTAGTGCTCCCTGAAACAATGGTCAAATTTCACTATACTTCCTGAAAGTTAAAGTGACCTAGAATGCCCCTTCGACCAAAGTTTGGTCGTTCACTTTGCCCCCCACCATTAACTATGTTAAAAATGTTGACATGGCACGAATTTATCACACCCTTTGATTGAAATGTAAGCCACGTGTGAAAAAACAATAAATATTTTATTTTAAAAAATTTTAATAAATAGAAAAAAAAATATTTACAAATCTCTCTCTCTCTCTCTCTCTCTCTCTCTCTCTCCCCCCCCCTCCCTCCCTCTCTCTCTCTCTCTCTCTCTCTCTCTCTCTGTGTATGTACCCACCCCTTGCCACCCAAACAACAACCCACCCACGAGACACACCCCTACCCACAAACTCACACACACACACAAAATATTCTTCTGTTTCCAACGTCCAAATTTAGCCCAATACATTTCTTAATTGAGGAACAAGGGAAGAGTACATTCACATATTGCAAAACTTATTAAGTTTAGAGAGACAAAGAATATGGGAAAGTATTTGATATTCCTTGAATGAATATTTACAGCATCATACAACCATTATATGGCGATAAAGGAGAGCTATTACAGGAAAGAAATAATGTACAATATTCCTATGCTATAATTAGGGAATATACAACTAATCAATGAGATTTTGTCTAACACTCCCCCTCAAGTTGGCGAGTGAATGTCATGAAGTCCCAACTTGCTACTTAAGTGATGAAATTGTTCATTTCCCAATGGTTTGGTGAAGATGTCCGCAAGTTGAGAACAGGATGGTACATAGGATGGTGTAATAATGCCAGCTTGTAATTTTTCTCGCACAATGTGACAATCAATCTCAATATGTTTCGTGCGTTCATGAAAAACAGGATTTTTGGCTATGTGAATAGCCGCTTGGTTGTCACAAAATAAATCTACCGGCTGAGTTTGTGGAACCTTGAGATCTTGCAAAATATATCGCATCCATGTAATTTCCAAACAGGTTGTGGCCATGGCACGATATTCTGCTTCAGTGGAAGAACATGCCACATTAGCTTGTTTCTTTGACTTCTAGGAAATTAAAGAGTTTCATAAGAAGACACAAAATCCCGAAACAGATCGTCGAGTCGTCGTACACCGTGCCCAATCTGAGTCACAATAAGCTTTTAAAATTAGATCATTAAAGAAAGGAAAAAATCATCCTTAACCAGGATTGCCTTTAATGAACCATAAAACTCTCAAAGCAGCTTCCTAATGAGGTGTACGAGGATTCTACATAAATTGACTCAGGATTTGCACAGAGTATACTATATCAAGCCTTGTCACTATGAGGTAAATTAATCTCCCAACCAATCTCCTACATTTGGTGGGATCATGAAACAAATTGTCATCTTCAAGATTTAATTTTAAATGCTCCTCCATTGGGAAGGAATTAGGACAATATCCCAATAATCATGCATCCTTCAAAATATCTAATGCATATTTTCGTTGTGAAACAAAAATCCCTTTTTGGGACCGAGAGACTTCAATGCCAAGAAAATACTTTAGATTTCTAAGATCTTTGATGCGGAATTGTTGCAAGAGAGTATCTTTGAGGGACTTAATGGTGTGTTCATTATTGCCTGTTACAATAATATCGTCTACGTAAATGAGCACTGCAGTAAAGGAGTTGCCTTCAAATTTGGTAAATAAGGAATAATCGGCCTTTGATTGAATGAAACCTGCCTATTGGATAGCATGATAGGATTTCGCAAACCAATTGTCGGAGGCATGCTTTAAACCATACAAGGACTTATTGAGCCGACATACCATATTCTCCCCCCGTCGGCGAAGACCAAAGGGAACATCCATGTAGACGACCTCATCAAGATCACCATGAAGGAAGGCATTTTGAACATCCAATTGATGGAGAAACCAATTGCGAGAAGCAGCAATTGCTAAAAGACACCGCACAGTAGTAAGTTTTGCAGTGGAAGAAAAAGTCTCCTGATAATCAATCCCTTCAAGCTAGGTATAACCCTTAGCAACAAGACTGGCTTTGTAGCGTTCGACAAAACCATCAGAATGGTTTTTTATCTTGTAAACCCATTTGCAACCAATAGGCTTATGACTGGCGGGTAAAGGAACGAGAGTCCAAGTATCGTTGTGCATGAGGGCATCAAGCTCAACTTGCATAGCATCCTACCATTTGGGATCTTGGACTGCCTGATTATAGTGATCATGAAGACCAGAAATATTAGCAAGAACAGAAAAATGGGAAGGAAAAGTACGAGAATAAGATAAAAAATTAGAGAGAGGGTGCCTTGTACCTCGTTTAGAACTGGACAATGGAGTCAATAATTGATGGGGTCCACAATGAGCAAAATTCATGTAGTAATCTATTTGCCACGTGGGTTGGGTACGGGTGTAAGTGGAATGGCAGGGGGGTGGAGGTGTGGGAATGGGAGGAGCTAAAGGTTCAATAGGTGGGACCAAGTGAGTATCAGAGTGGGAAACTGGGGAGGTAGGTAAAAGAGCTGGTTTAGGGGGTGCGATTGGGGAAGTAGGTTGACTGGTGGTGCCGGAGGTAGGAGAAATGGTAGCGGCCGGAATGGAAAGGTCAACAGACGAGTCAAAAAATGGTGCAAGATGGAGAGGATGTGAAGTGGGCATGGGGTCCAATTGAAAAGTTGGAGGAAAAACTGTGGTAGGATCAGATGAGGTGATGGGTTTAAAAGGAAAAGTAGTTTCATGGAATCGAACATCCCTACTAACAAAAATTGCCTAGAATCCAAATCAAATAATTTGTAACCCTTTTGCCCAGAAGGATACCCAACAAAAATACAACGACGAGCACATAGAGCAAATTTGGAAATGGGATGGACTGTATTAGCATAACACAAACAACCAAAAGTACGAAGATGATCATATGAGGGTGTGTGATTATATAAACGTTCAAAAGGTGTGATGTTAGAGAGAAGTGGGGTAGGCAAACAGTAATTAAATAGACTGCAGTTAACACACACTCACCCTAAAAGCGCATAAGTACATTAGATTGAAAAAGTAAAGCACGAGCAACTTGTAAAATGTGGTGATGCTTTCTTTCGACAACGTCATTCTGTTGTGGGGTGTAAACACAAGAACGTTGAAATTCAACACCATGAGTAAGAAAACAAGAATGCAATGAAAGAAATTCAGCACCATTATCACTGCGAATGATTTTAATGTGGGAATTAAATTGAATGGAAATAAAAGTAAAAAAAGACATAAGCAACTGAGGAGCATTAGATTTATGATTCATAAGAAATAACCATGTGCAACGAGAAAAATCATCAACTATGGTTAAAAAATATCGTGCACCCGAATGTGTGGGGTGTTTATGGGGTCCCCAAATATCACAACGTATTAAGTGAAAAGAAAATTTAGAAGAAATAATACTAGATGGAAAAGGAAAATGAGTATGTTTTGCTAAGGGACAAATATCACAATTATTGTCAAATGAGAGATGAATAGAGGAAACAGACTTAGACACTAGACGCAGACATGCAAGAGAAGGATGGCCAAGGCGGTGGTGCCAAATGGTACTGGAAGCGGTGGTGTGACAGACTGCGAAGGACTTGCGAACTGGTGACATAAAGTAGAGGCCACCACTTTGCTTACCCCATCCAAGCATCTTCCCCATAGCCAAGTCCTGCAAAACACAAAAATCAGGAAACAAGATCACGCAGCAATGCAAAGACTAAGTGATTTTACTGGCAGATAAAAGATTTAAGCG